TATTTGGTTAGCACAAGACAAGGTAAAAGGGATTACATTATATAGGCAAATGAGATTACATCATGCGTTGTAAAGAAGATTACATCAATAAATTTATATAATCCCCATTACAATCACGTTTTATATCAAAATATCCCTCCTCATATAACATATCAAACAAACACCTGTAATTCTTATTACATTACATTTCATTTCTTAGCATTACATTATATTACATTCTCTCAAATTCTTTGAACCAAATAGGCCATTAAAGCCTAAAATTTTACCATAGATCATGGATAGTGAAATGAAATTAAAATGTTGACAAAATTAACCACTTGATTTTGTGAGACTATGCGCATAAACAATTTCGATAAGAAAATGAACCACTTTAGTATGAGGAATAAACAATTTTAATATGAAGAATTCACAACTTTATTTATTATGATAACAACAGTTTGAATAAAAACAAGTGAAGATATATGTATAAAATAGCTCTTGTATGAAAATTAATTACTTTAGTATGGGGAACTTGCAACTACTTTTACCATAATGGCAATATTAAGAATAAAATCAAATGAAACTATACGCACATACAACTATTATAGGAGAAATAATCACTTCAATATGGACAATGAACAACTACAATATGAGGAATTTGTAGAGTTTTTTACCATGATAATTGTACTAAGAATACAATCAAGTGAAGTTATGAACACAAACAATTCTAGTAACAAAAGTTAACTACTTGAGTATGAGAAATGAACAATTTTAATATGGAGAATTTGCAAGTATATTTTAACAAGCTCAAGCCATTAGAGACAATAAGATAACTTTAGTTTGCATTTTAATTTCATTTCACTACCCTTGGTTTGCAGTAAAATTTTAGATTTTAAGGGACTCTCTTTTTATCATGTTTGGTCAAGGAGTCTAGATTGAAATTCCCTATATTTTTAAATTCCCTATAAATTGAAATTCCCTTTATATCTTCATTCACCAGACACCTAAATTTCAACATTGGTTTCTCAGATTTTGATTGGTTTTGGGAACTACATGATATGGAAGAGGGCCATGTGCCTCACTTTTTCTTGGATTGAACAAGGTAGGGTTTATTGATGAAAGTTGTGTTCAAGTAAATCAAGATCCAAAGCTTCGTGATCAATGGGATCATTGTAATGCCGTTGCACTTTTGTGGCTTATCAACTTAATGGATAAACAGATTGCCAGTGGTATAGTCTTCTAAAAAACTACTCATTTTCGTCTGGATGGATCTTTAATGATGATTTTAAAGGTCTAATAGGACTAAGATCTTCTACTTGTGCATAGCAATTTCTTCGTGTACTCAATGTTCGCTTAGTGTTTCAAGTTATTTTACAAAATTAAAGGATTTTGGGATGAGTATAGTACAATTGTTCCTTTTCACACTTGTCAATGTTCCACATCCCAAGAATATGTGAAAATTGTTCAACAACAATGCTTGTTCTAGTTTCTAATGGATTTAAATGATAGTCATCAGAGTGCTTGTTCTCAAATTCTCCTGATAACACCTCTGCCTGTATTCAACTAGGCATAGTCCTTGATATCTCAAGATGAAGATCAACAAGTTCTCTCCTCTTACCCACATAACAATCCGATTGAAGCTTTAACCATGACTTTAAGAGGAGGTCGCCAAGGTTGAGGCTGGGAATAGGGGAGAAATCAAGATGAGTGCACTGATCATTATGGTTGCAAGGGACATAAATGATAAAATTCTTATCAACTCGTTGGGTTTCCTACAAATTTCAATACAAGTGTCAAGAATCAAAGGCCTTAAGATGGCCAAGTTAATCAGATAGTTAGTGAGCAGGTGCCAGCCTTACCTGCAGTCACCACCAATGCCAAGCTTACTGAAGCCTTAATACAAGGGGGTTTAGGCAAAGTGAGTATGATTATTCCCTCTTTGTCAAGCAAAATAAAACTAACATAATCATGATTTTGGCTTATGTAGATGATTTAGTTATCAATGAAAACAAGATAGAAAGTATTAATAGAGTCAAGCAGTATTTGCATTGATGACTTCCTATTTTGTGTTATAATTGACAAATTTTTTGTGATATTTTGGGAGTCATCAATGGAAAAGAGAAGCATTTTCTTTCTTTTATAAAGAAAAATTAACTAAGTGCATCATGTGGATTTATTGTAATATTTTTAAGAAAATTGTTTAGAATAATGAAAATTGAAGTGACCAAATATTTCACTCATATTTATTAATTGTGGATATGTGGAGCATGACAATATCAAAGCAAGAAAAAGAAAGGAGATAAGAAAAAAAAAGTAGTTCTCATTTGAAAACACAAAAGCAAAAATTCTGACAATATGTGAATTGTCAGAATTTTTATTAGAATTGCTCAATGGTTCCATAGCACTAGACACAAATGCAAAAAACACAGTTTCATTTTTTGTGCAAAAATACCTTACATAACTCATTTTTCTGGAATTGAAGAGCAATTTTTCAGTTGTTGCAACTAGAGAAAACCTTAAGAGAGCAAGAGGAAGAGTCTTGAAGCTTAAGATCAAGAAGAAGTGGAGAAAATCTTCATCTTACCTCATTTTATTAGTGTTTTCTTTTCTTCTTTTTCTCTATGTTGATGGATTCAAACTTTATCTTTGTTGTTACAATAGTTATATTAGTTATGTGTGGCTAAATCTTGTGGTTTTAGAGGACTATGAACTTATTTATGTAAATAACTTTTGATTTATCATTTAGTTGTTGCGAAATAAAGTTTTGATGACTTGTTCTTGAGCTATCTTGTTCTTGTTTAATGTTTGGCCATCACTAGGTGAGATTTGGGTTGAACCTTGAAAGAGAAAACTTAAATTGGACCTTGAAAACTAGCAGCCTAGGATTAGTTTAGCTAATTTGCCATTAGAATATGAATGTATCTAATTGACCTAGATAATCCTCATGGATTAGGGTCTCTATAATGTAATTAATTAATTAAGGTAATATTTTACTTTAATTGAATTAATTAGGGTCCTTAGTAATTAAAAGATACTTTGGATTAATTTAGATTTTTAAATTATCAAAACTAAGTTTCAAGACAATTAATGCAATAATGAGAGAGTTAGGAGGCAAATAGAGGATTAGGACTCTAGAACGCTCTTCTATTGGTTGACTTTAGTTTGTTTGTGGATTAAAAAGTTATTTCTAATTGATCACTTTTAATATTTTCATTTTAATTGTTCTAAAATCAATCTTAAGTTTTATTAACTTAATGTGAATGAATTTAAAAATTTAATGCCTAGTCACCATTTTAATTAATTCCCTAAAGTAGGGGTGTTCATGGGACGGGACTGGGACGCTCCCGTCTGTGTCCCGTCCCGAAAAAAAAATCGGGATTGAATTTTGGTCCTGTGTCCCGTCCCGTCCCGAAAGTCGTCCCATCCTGTTAAGAGTCGGGACGGGACCGGGACAAGATCGGGACATCCCGTCGTCTCGATAAATGGAATAATATCAAAAAAAGATTTGGGTAATAATGTTCATTAAAATTTTAAATCATATAATTTATTAAGTTTAAAATCAAAACAACACAAGCACATAAATAACAATAATTTAAAATTAGTTATTGAATTATATTAATCACAACTACATATTATAATAACAAATACAAGTGATCTTTATGCTATAAGATAAGTAACAACAGGCAAGTCAAACACAATATCAAATCATTATTCTTCTACTTTAATGAAGATGTACTAAGCTAATTACTCTTCTAAAAATAAGTAAGAAATATGTTATAAATAAAAGTTATTAAATAGATAGATATAAGAATAAATTATATTAATATAATTAATATATTATAAAGAAAGATATCGCCATGTTTACTCCATACCATTAAAATTATCAATATAAAAAAACTTTAGTTTTAAATAAAAATTGCAAGTATTAAAATTATAATTGATATAATTAATATAAGTATAAATTATATTAATATAATTAATATATTTAAAATAAAAAATAATATATATAATATTTGAGATGGGACAGGACGTCCCGATTGTAATCCCGTGTCCCGTCCCGTCTCGAACCTCTTTCCTGTCCTGTCCCGTAAAGTCCCGTCTCGATTATTTTCGGGCCGGGACAAAACCCGTCCCGATATGATCGAGACGATACCAGGCCAGTCGGGATGAGTCCAGACTAAACACCCCTACCCTAAAGGATCGAGTTTGATTTGTCACTAGTTTCAATTGTGACCCATGTTTCTCATGAATTGAGTTAGCTAGATCAGAAAAAGGAATTGTTCTTAGCCAAAGAAAATATACCCTTAACCTTATATCATACGAGACTTAGTGGAGCCAAGCCACTAAGCATACCTATGGAGCAAAATGTTAGGCAAAGTGCAAAAAGGAAAGTATGTGCCTCAAAAAACAAGAAAAAGAGAGAGAAAAAGAAGAAAGAAGATGCCTATTGCAAGAACCAATTGTATATTGAAGGTTGGCAGGTAGGCTTTCAATCTTGCCATCACTAGACTTGGTTTATGCTTTGCTGTGTAGACCTTGTCCCAGTTCATGAATGCTCCAAGAAGATCTCACATGGAGTATTTATGCAACATTAATTAGTTGATGTGCACATGTCTAACGTGAGAAAAAAAACATGCGGCTAACATGGCTTGATAATGTGATGGCACAAGTGCTTTTGCATCCTAATTTAATATATATAAATTGTGCTACTAAATTGTTACTCCAATAACTTTTTTGTGGGCCATCTTTGATCAATAGCTTTTGTTGTAAATACCAGCAAACTATGAAATTATTATCATGGGATTTACACTGACAGCTAGCGCTTTTTTTTTTTTTTTGAGCCAAGACAGCTAGAGCTGGTAATGATCAAATTTTTAAATATCCAAGAAAAATGAGATGAATAAATAAGCTAATCTGAAAATCCAACAACTAAACACAGTTTGTTTTTTTTTTTTTTCAATTTTTAATACCACAACGCAAATACAACAAAAGTACAAGATGTCAAACCAGAAACCACGAAAGAAACATAACAATGCTGCTGAGAGAACAACATTAACAAACAACCAAGGATCCCCAAATGTTTTCTCCCAACAACACTATCAGCGGCCACATAACGTGGCATGCATCGATTTAGGAAAATCAAACAAGTTTTACAGTCCCGAAGCAACCTAAAACACAAGCACACGTGACTTTTTTTGAAAGAACAAAAGCACCCATGATATAACTTGCATAGTCCCATCAAACGACACACTTTTTTTTTTCTGATTTATTTTTTTAGTTTTCTATTTCTCTGGGTTCCATGTAACTCTACAGTAAAAAGGTGGTTAAGATGCGATGATTGTCATTCTCCTCCTCCAACAGCATCAGCAGAGTCCGTCGCAGCCTACAAAATAAAAGTCAAAAAAGAAAAAGGAAAATGATTTTAGTGTTAATTTGTGACCAGAAACATGTAATGATATTTGCATCATACAGTTGTAATTACTCCTTCCGTCCCAAATCTGTGAAGGGGATAGTGAAATTGGTGCATCTTTGTTTAATTACCTTTACATGAATCATGCATGTTCACGGAACGTGGCATGTCTTGCTCTGGCAATCGGGGCGCATCAATGCTTGGGCCCAAAAATTCCAAGTTGGGGCATTCATCTCTCTCCAAGATACACAGCCTTGGAAATTTCAGAGTGGAACTCCCTCTATAAAAGCATGCTAGGCTTGGAAGGGAATCCAGAGAGACCTCAACCAGCTTCTCAAATACCACTTCACTGGTAGTCTGATCAATTCCGTCATCGTCTGGGGCCACTATTTCTTTAATGGATTCACATTTCGAGACTGTCAAATAACGAAGCATCCTCATACTCGTGGCAGTAGCGGCCGTGAATAAATATTCCAATCCACTGCATTCCCGTACAACCAAGTGTATTAGATTGGAAAAGGACACTGCAGATTGTACTAGCTTCGTCAAACAAGGACATCTCTCTACATACAAGAACTCGAGCTTTTGTCGGAGAGAATCCATGCCGGGGTGCTCTAACCCCATGCACTGGAGGTTACACAAATCCTCCAAAATCAAGCTTTCTAATCCTGTCTTAGCAGATCCTAACTGAAATGTGCAAGGGAACATCTCACGGATGTCACTGCAAGCGACAAGAAGATCCTCCAGATCGGGTAACTTGTGAATGATTCCAAATGGTAATTCATCTGCCTCACTCACATTGTGAAAGCAATGCAGCACAAGGAATTTTAATTTCTTTACAGGTTCATCTGCAATTTTTCCATTGCATAACATCATGGCCTCTTCCTTTTCGAGCGACAGGCACCGCAGGCCGCTAATAACCTAAGAAGCAAACAAGCAAAAGGTTGAAAACGAAAAGGGTCAACAACGGGATTGAGCACTGGCAACTTCAGTAAATTAATCAAGACAATGATTTAATTTGAGTCTCTCGTGAGACCCACTTGTTAGCAATAATTCTAGCCAACAAAGATAGTGTTCAAACCATCATTCAACTTGTTGACTCCGTAAGAACATAAGAATGAAACCAAATTACAAAACTGATAATACATTTTAACAATATGAAGTGCAAAATTAGGACCATATTGGACTAGGGTCAATAAGCAAACTCATCATCCAAGTGGGATGACTTGACATAACCTTCGTTTTTAAGTCCGTGCTAGTCTGCTAGTAATTATCATATAAGGGACTAAATCCGTTCAAACTGAAAGCTGGGGACTAAAATTGTCAAGAGGCATGTCAACTGCAAAAAAGGAGAAAACATTGATACATGCAAGAACTGTGAAATATGCTTCAAACCTCTCGCGTAGAGAAAAAGGATTGTGAATCATTTGAGGCACCAATTTGACCTTCTCCTTGGCAGCTTTGGAATTCTGATGTGACTATATGCGACTTATTCAACTTGCCACAATGATAAACAATAAGGTCTATTAAATCAGGGCATCGTAGTTTCATTCTTCCAGAATAGAAGCATTTGAGCTCAGGCAACATGCCAAGAAGCACTGAAGTTAAGCGTGGAAACTCAAACTCTTCAATAACTCCTCCTTCATGCGCTTCAACCTTTCCAACAATCTCCACAAGTGCCCTGCAATTTTTTATTTGAAGACTTCTGAGCTCCAGAAGTTCTTTTGCAAAAGTTGCCGCTGGAAACACAGTCTGTAGACAATCACAATCAATGACAATCATAACTTCAAGATTTTCAAAGCTCAAAATCCCTTGAGGATTCTGGTTCCACACATGCTTCATATTTGGCAGCCGATCCAATATCAGGAATTGCAAATTGGATTTCACCTTCGCCATGTCCTTCATATCAAATATTGCTACCACTGACCTGCAATTTCGAACTTGCAATCTTTCCAAATTCCCTAAGTATGGAAGCAAATTAGATGGAATTACATTTGACATAATTTGACAATTCTCCACCACCAGCTCTCTTAAATTTTGAAAAAAATTGTCTGGCACGGGACGTTTTTCATGCCATATTTCTTCTAGCTCAGCATGCTCAGAAAATTTCAATTCCCGGAACGATGGCTACAAAATTAAAATACAGGTGTAAGAAGAGAAAGAAATAAGTGAAATATTGACTTGATCAATTTCTCAAACTATCATTCATCGACGGACAAGCAGAGTCAAGGAAATGTGCTGCATGTTACCATCGTACTGCTAAAAATATGCAAGGCCTATCTTAATTAAAAGCCTGTTACCTCTCCTATTTGTACCAATTAAGTTCGACCATACATGTTAATTATGCCTAGAGATTTTCACAAATAAAATCAATTTTAGTCTCATTTACAGCTAAAGTAACAAATCCAAGCCCAAACCAACCAACAGATAAAAATTTGGTGAGGTATGCATCAAGGCTTGTGGAACATAAACAGTGCCCATCGTTATATTTTAGTACTCAACTCCGACTTATGTTCTATATTTGATTAAAATTGGTCAGGCTTGATAAAAATAAGAGTTTCGACTTTCTATTGATTAATAATATTGTTTTTTGTTTGCAGAAAAACATTGAATATCAGATAGCTATATAAAACACTTGATTATTCTAACTTGGGAGTAAACTTAAACGTAGATTACATGTATTCTAATTCGCACCCAACCATCAATGTGTGTAAAGGCAAGATTAATCTTGCTAGAGTTGAATTAGGAAAATAGTCTCTTCATTTCTATATATAAGAAGAAAAAAATATATCACACAGTTAAATCAATACAATAATTATATATAAAAATAAAGGACTTGCACTAAAATACCCTATGTTAACCTAAGCATGAATTAATTGTTTCTCGTTAATGTAAATTATAAGGGGTAATTTATAAAATCTATAATAAATACTTATTAAAATATGTAATTTTGCTTATAAGAAAAATCAAAAGTAATAATTTCTCTAACAAATAAAAATGGAAGGAGTAAGTTATAATTTAAATTTAAAAGGGCTACAATTTTTTTTTTTAAAAAGGCATGTCCTAGGGTCCTTCTCTCAATGATCCAGTCTACAATTGATGCATGCAAAAAATCATATAAATAAAGCTGACAAATTATATGATTAAAAGTGAGTTTGTTTAATTTTATGAGACTAATTAAACTAATGCCGTGTATCTTTGGAGGATAAACAGCTATTTCTTTTTCAAAACTTAAGAAACTACTAGAACATCATACAACCAGCAATTAAGGAAGAAGTGCATGTGTGTGTGGTTAATTTGTGATCAAGAAACCAGCCCCATTATTAACGCAACTAGTCCACCAAAGGATAAAATTTAAAGCTAAATAAAGTCAGGGTATATGATTTTTATTAATAGAATGTACCAGACATTTCACCATATTCTGTATTGTAGCATTCAAATCCCCCTTTTGATACCAGTTGTCTTCTTGTTCTTCTCTGTCAAGTACTTGTAGATTAAGCGCAGTTGTGACTCGCTTGCAGAATTCTGTCATCTTTGGACAATCTCTCACCATCAATTTTTTGAGAGAAGGGAACTTAAATTGATGAATCTCAGAGCTGCAGAAACAAGAGAGTTTCGGAAGATCTACAAGTTCTAAAGTCATCAAATTGCTAAAAACGATGTCAGGGATGTTTTTACTATTGACTTCGTCATGTTGTTCTGCTACAATTTTCTTTAGCGTCCAACATCCAATTACCTTCAAAGTCATGAGTTGAACCAAACTTTTGGCTGTGGAAAATCCCATCAAGTATCTTAATCGCCCACATTGATGTACTTCAAGAGATATTAAGTGAATGAGAGTAACCGAGGAAGGAGCTAAATTGATCAGTCCATGACATGATTGTAAATACAAGCTCTCTAGACATTGGAGGACTGGTTCTCTATCGAATCCTATATCCTCAAGTTCCCGCAAATAAAATAGTCTCAAATATTTAAGCTGGACTACAGTACCGATGTTTGCTTGTATCACATGGCTTCCACTAGGTATCAGTTCTCTGAAGGAACAATGGAACAGTGTAAGCCTTTCTAGGGAAGGCATTCTGTGGATAAACCAATAGAGCATTTCATTCGAAGGACATGACCATAAGGTAAAGTCATTCAGATGGTTCATACGATAGTTTTTAAAGTGTTTCTGTAGCCTCTCCGCTTCGTTCTGGCTTATTTCCAAAACTTCCAAGTTAGAGATTATCTACATAGCAGATGAAACAGAACTAAAGTTTGAAAAAAAAAAAAATCCAAAAAGGAAACACCTTTAAATAAATGCAGTATGAAAGCAGTCAAGCTTTGTTTGTACCTCGTCACTGTCATCAGGCAAGAAGCTGATTGGTCCTGCTTCTGAATTTGTGGATTCTGTTCTGAATACCTCCAGCTTGTCACAACTGTTCACTATCAGCTTTTTTAATTTCGGCCACTTTAAATCGTATGATCCCTTATAAAAACACTCTAGTTCCGGGAGGCGATCCATTGCCACTTGGGTTAATTCACGAAATTCAAATGTAATACTTGCATTTAATCCTTCATGAAGTACAACTTCTTCCATGCGAGCACAATTATGGACAGAGAGGAAGTCCAATTCTTGAAGACCTCTGGCTACCGAAACTGGAAATAAATATACCAAGTGACGACATTCAGTAACATCTATACTCTGCAATTTTTTGAATTTAAGAATTCCTTTCGGATCTTTATTCCATAAGTGTTCCAGATTTCTGAGGTTTTGTATTTGAAGAACCTGCAAGTGAGTATCATCTCCAGAACTGTTTGGTTCAGCGCCATCAAGGTCAAATACCACCGTCACTCCATCACAATCAACAATCTTCAAGCTCTCTAGTCTGCCAAATCTTCCCACCATATAACTCGGAAAAACGTTGTCAAGTTTTTTGCACCTCTTAATAAACACGGAATTCAGACTGGGAAAGGAATTTTGGCTGACTTTGCGAGGCCATATACTTGTTAGATTGTGCATGCGGGAGAGATGGATTTCCTCCAACTTAGGAAACACCCAAACCTTCTGTGATGCAAATTAAGCATTAGAAAATAAATTCAATAACTCGTGAGCTAATCAAATAATAATCATTACAGATTTGTAAAGGCAAACTTCATGCAAAATAACCGAATGTATCAAATATCACGGTACTTCCACTTTATTTCACGTACCTTTCCTTCAATCACATTAATTCCTTCAGATTCAAATATTTTTACCATCTTCTGACATCCACTGACAGACATGCTTTTGAGATTCTCCAAACTCCCAGCCATGGAAACTGAAAATATATATTCTATTTCATTACAATCTTCCACATTCAGTTTGATTAAATTTTTAAAAGGTTTCGACCGGCTGCTCCAAATGCTACGCATGTTGATCGAAGACAACTTCAAGCTCTCTAAGCTGGGAATTCTGACCTACAATACCAGCAATGACTGTCTCAATTAGGAGCAACTTTGTGATTTCCAACATCTGATATCAAGCAAGAAGACCACATTGGCAATAGTTCTTTAATTTTTTTTTTTTTTTGGAAAACTAATACTCCCTTCGTTCAAAAATGTAAGGCATTTTTTGAAGAGTTAAATATTGAAAAATATAAGGTATTTTTAATGTTTTTAGGTGTAATTATTGCCCTTTTTTTCAAAAATGTCTCTATTGATGAATGATTTTATATTTATTATAAGGTATTTAATTGAAATAAATATAAAAAAATAGAATTAATTTAAAAGTAGATAACTATTTTATTGAAGGTGAGATTCAATTAAAAATATTTTATATTTTTTAACAGCTGAAATATATAATATTAACGACTGTTCAAACTATAGTATGTATAAAAAAATAATTGAAAATATAATTACCTGTTCATTGAAGAGACATGTGTCAGCATTTTCAGCCAGATCATTAGAATAGACTTTTGAAAATTTCTTCAAATTTTGCAGTGCCAAAGAGCCTAATTTAACAAACAACACATCATCATCTTCATCTGCATCATGCTCTTCCTTAGCCACAATATTCTCCATGGAATCACAATCAGAAACATCAATTGTTTCAAGAATATCAAGGAGCTTAACCATGGAAAGTGAGAAGATATTGTGTATTAGGGCACAACTCGTGATCCGAACAACTTTTAGCTTCGAAAATGAGGTCCCCGTAAGCTTGCTATAGCTTATTTTCTTCATGTTCTTTAACTTGTAGAGGCAAAGTGATTCTAGATTGGGGAAAACATCTTTAGGATCTGGCAACTCCTTTGAGTTAATGATGGATTCAATATCCGAGTTATTTATGATGGATAATTGTTTCAAAGATTGAAATCCTTCCAAATTCAACTCATAAAAAATATCTCGAACACCTTTTAGTTCCCCCAATAACAATTTTTCTACTCTTCTAAACAACATCTTGATACCCTTTTGAGAGTGAATAAGGTTGTTCTCATTTATCTTTAGTGCCAAAACTCTTGATGCTTCATCCTTACCTGCGTGAACAAAATCAGAAAAAATTACTAGGTAGGAGGTGAAAATTTTCCTGGTAAACAAAATTTTATATTTAATAATAAAATATTAACATTAATAAGCACTACAAATTTATTTTAATATCAAATATTTACTAAAATAATATAAACATAAAATCAGATATTTTTATTAAAATTAAAAAGAAAAAGCTATAATAATAAAAAAATAAAAAAATGAAATTAAGGATCCGTTTGATTTTTGTTTTGAAAAACTTTTTTCTATTTTTAAAAATGATAAGTATTTTAGATTTAAATTTTTTCAAAACTATTCTCATTTTGGTTTTTAAAAACAAAAAATAGAAACATCTTAAGATTGATTCTATTTTTAAAACACACTATATTTGACTATTGTAAATTAAACTACCTTTAATATGGACAATCACTATCATATGATATCATTATTAACACTAGCAATCACTACTATTGGTCATTTTTAACTCTAAAATTATTTTGAATTAATATAATAAAATATATTTTCATTTTGTTTTGTTTTGAAAAATAATTTCTAAAATTAGTTTACAAAGTAGTTTTTTTTTAAATAAGAACCAAGTCAAAATTAGTTCTATATGTCTTAATGCACGTAAATGCAATGATTAAAGTAGGTTTAGAATATATTATACATTTGGGACCATACTATTGACCTTATTTCCCCTATTCCATTCTACATACCTGGCATCTTGAAATCCCCCACTGAAAGTGTCTCAAACTCTCCAATAACAATCTTGTAACTATCCAACTTTTTGAGGAACAAGTTCCTTGGTAGAACTGATGCAGAACTTGATATGCTTATATCTAGATTCTTCAATCTGAATAGGTGACTCAGCTCAGCTAGAATAGCATTTCCAATTTGACTTCCTTCTCCCTCACTCTCCCACTTCACACTATTCCTCATGTACAACTCTTCTAAATTATTCAACCTTGACAACACATGAGGTGGGATCTCTTTAAGTTCGGAGCAATTACTGATGTCAAGCAACTGCAACTTATGTAAGTGGCCCAATTCAATTGGTAGCTTTTTAATTTTAGATCCAGAAAGGCTAACAATCCTTAGCTTCTCTAGCTCTCCTATAAAGGATATGTCACCTAACTCGCATCGTTCTAAACAAAGCATTCTCAAGTTTTTTAGGCATCCAATTGCAGTAAGAAACTTTGACAAATCAATATCAGTCAAAATCAATGCTCTGAGTTCTCTCATCCCTCTAAAAAAACTTTCTGGTATATTAAAAGAATGATCAAGACTATCAACATGGAAAATTTTGAGTTTAGGACAACTTGCAAAATTTGGAAGTTTTTCTTTGATATCACAGTTGTGTACAGATATAGCACTGTGCATCCTAAATTCATTTTTATGAGGCCACTCATACAATTCCTCATTTCGCCTAGTAAACAAATGCCGCTCCTTGGATGCTATTGATAAGGCAACATCGCGAATCATATCATGCATGTTAAAAGAATCGCTAGAATAACTATTCAATAATAAACTTGAATCTTTTAACTTCTCTATCAATCTGAGTATTCTTTCACGAATTTCCTTGATTGTAAGGAATCCATCAAATATGTCCAAACCAATGCAATACTTCACCAAGTCCATAATTAATGGATGATAACCCAATTGAGCACAAAGCAAGAAAATAGACTTGAGCTCTTCACTTTCTAGATGATTAAAGCTCAATTTTGTAGAGAATTCCACAGATTCAACCACCTCTGTAAATTCTTGCTTTTCAAGTTGTCTAAGCGTGTCATTCCAATCTGAGTAGTTCTTGTTTCTTAGTGTCCTTCCAATAGTGACGACAACTATAGGTAACCCGCCACATTTCTTGGAAATTTTAATTGCCAATTGACCTAACTTGGGAGTTTTATCGGCTACTCTCGCCACCTTCTTCAGTAGAAACTCTGCTTCTTTATCATCTAAGCCTTCTATGGAGAAACATGAGCTTTCTTTCACATCCATTTTATTATGTAATACCTCTCTACTTCTTGAAGTTAGCACAATTTTGAACAATTTGGCATCATCAATCACTTTTTTAGTTTTGATAGTACCGGTTGCTTGTTTCTTTTTTGGAACATTACCATCACTTGTTATTTCTGTAGATATTTTACTCGTGATAATATCTTCACTAGTATTAAGGCTAAGATTGACATCTTCTATAGGTATCCCCAGCATATTCAAGTCCAATCCAGCCCATAGATCATCAAGAACCACTAGAGTATTCCTCCTATCCTTCTTAAATGTATCTCTTAAACGACTTGCTCTACCAATCTCACTTTCGTCATCCAATCTCGCACCTAGCTGATCAGCTAGTAGGCCTTGAATTTTCTTAATATCTGGATCTTTTGTCACACTTACAAAGACAACAACATCGAACACCTTATCTCCTTGAGCTCTGCTAGCCATCTCTTTAACTAGAGTGGTTTTACCCACCCCTCCTGGTCCATGGACCCCAATCATTCTAATGGTAGAATTTTTCAACATCTCATTAATTTTCTCTGTGACTTCATCTCTGGACTTAAAACTTTCAAAATCAATGTCTGACAAGATAAAATCTATCGACAAATGCTGCAGGCCATAGGAAACTCCTTCAAAGGTTGACCTTTGGTAAAGATTGTCGACTTTCCTGGCAAGTCTAGAAGCCGTTCTACTCAAACGACACCTTAGCCCAGGTTTAGGCAAGAAACCTTTGGAATACACTGTATATGGAAGGTCTTTATCTTTCTGGAACTTATCATTTTTGGAAATTATGTCATTCACATCTTTTAACCATTGTAAAACATCAGCTGCAATTTCTTTGCCATTTCGTGATTCGTCATCAGCGCGACGTTGCACCCTCTTTGTTCTCTCTCGGAGACGTTTAACAGATTGCTCTAGCTCATCAAAAATAGACTCAGAGAAAAAATAACAAAGCTGTTCCTTTATTATTCGTGGAAGAAACTTTGATGCGTGACCACTCAATGAAGAAAACAACGCTTTTATTATAGCGCTCAACTCCATTCATTCCCTTACCCCTAAAGACTGTAAAAAGAAAAGGCAAACTATCAATATGAAGGAATAATAAGCGTCAGTATATACTCGAACCAAGCGACATTATGTAACATGCTAGTTTCATAATTGAGTTTATAGAGTCATTAGAGTTGATTTGGGGATTTTATTAAGGATCATGATAGATCCTAATAGGTGGGAGATCATGGTGTCAAGTTATTTTTGAGGATTCAAGGTTCTGGTCTCAACCACTAGCGGATACGACTATGCAGGACCAGGTCTGTGTGCGGGCTGAGACAGAGAAGAGAGATTAGCGTCTCAAGTTGTGTCCAATCATGGTTGAGGCATGTTGAATGGTCATCCATTTGCGGACGAGAGATGAAAAGGCAAAATCCCATCATATGGTTTTATATATTCATCTCGGTAGTTGCCGTTCTTCCGTTGAAAAACCCGTAGGGTAACATTAGTTATTTTAACACGATAAGAGGTAACCACGCTTAATTTACTTTTCTTGCTTGGTTTGTTTTAGTGTTGCATTTTTAACGTGTAAATCATATATAATATGAATTTTTGACTTGATAACCTATTAAGTGGAATGATGTGCTATATTGATTTCTTTATATGGGTATATTTATATTTTGGTATAGTAAAGCTTGATGAATGATGTAAAGTTATATTTCATTATCATGGATTGAATAGGTTGACTAGTATGAGTTGAGTAGTGGTTGGTAGAGGTTGTTGTTGTGGATATAGAAGTATTAAGATGTATTATATTTGACCACCTAGTCTTTACCATGAGATGCCTAGTGGTTGGGTTACATTCTTAAGGCCCTTGGTATTTCTCCTTCCTTTGGGCGGGATTAGAGTTAGCCCTTGGGACATGTGACACCTCTCTAGGTTATGGAGGAGGGGGAACCTATGATTTAGTGTTGAGCTTTGCACCTTTGGTAGGGTTGCATCTTGTCACTAGTGAGCTTGGTGAGGTTTAATCACATAGACAGATCATGTTTAACTGTGACAGCCTATGGGTTCAATAAGAGAAATAAGGAGGATGTAAGGCTAGTGTTTACAGATATAATTACTCACATAATTTGTATTTTGAAGTAATCATTATGTTGTTATTATTCTTAATCTTTATTCTTCCTATTTAACTACCTTTATAGCATGCCTGCATGCATTTTAGATTATCATGTGGTTATTAGGACCCTCTAATCTCATTATGTGGTTTCTAACATTTTAAGTGAAGATTTAAGTAGGGGTGTTCATGGGGAGGGGATGGGATGAGATCGGGACACCCCTATCCCATGTCCCGTCCACAGGACTAAATTTTGTCTCGTATTTCATCCCGTCTCATCCTAAAAGTTGTCCCATCCTATTAAAAATTGGGACATCCCGTGGTCTTGATAAGGTGGACAATATGGAAAAAAGGCCTGGATAATAACATTCATTAATTAAAATTTTAAATCACATAACTTATTAAGTTTAAAGCCAAAACAATACAAGTTTAAAGCCAAAACAATACAAGTATATAATTTCATTGGTTGATATGATTGAATATTTTTTATCATTAGTTAGCATAATTCAATTTATTTTTTATTTATTTTAAATGATTTTTATCTTTTTATTGGATGGGAGCATTAAATTAAATAATTAATTAGTTAATTATTAATTAATTAATTAAATATCTAAATCTTATAGGATGAAGGTGATTGGTCACAAATCTCTTCTCTCCCATTAGTCAACATACTTTGATATAATATTAATTATTCGCTCCAATTGGTCTAGTAATTTTTGTATGATCAATTTAATTTTAGTCTAATATTAATATGAATATTATTATTTCATTGGTCGACGTGATTAAATATTTTTTAATTGGTTGATAGAATTTAATTTATTTTTTATTTATTTTAATTGATTTTTTCTTTCTAGGGGATGGGAGAATTAAATTCTATTTCAAAATTTCCTTGAGTCATCTATCACGAGGATGTTAACTATGTTGTTTTCATGCTCTCGAGTCTCGCTAGAGAGTTTTTGTTTCCAACACAAAAATATCTTTGCGTCTCTCAATCTCACATTCCTTAATTAGTCATTGATCAGCCATTCTCCTGGATGAGTTTGTTGTCGATAGTGGAGAGCTGGGCAGTCAGGGTGGTAGAGTTTCACGCCTCTTTTCGACCAATGTCAAGGAGAGGAATCTCATAGCGTTAATCTAATTAGTCAAGAAAAATTGACTTTCATTGCATTAGTTAATAGATTTTAAGCTAATGTTAATATGAAAATTTTTCTTAATTCATTAATGAGATTTAATTTATTTTTTATTTTTCATATATTTTCAATCTACTTTCATGGGAGCATTGATTCAGGAATAGTCCTATTTTTAAATTTCTATGATCATTAGCATTAACTTCATTCAGTTATCTTTCTCCATTTGCTGTATTTTTTCATGCCTTTTCAATTTTTCTAATCAATGAGGTTTAATTTATTTTTTTTATTTTTTATGTATTTTAAGTGTACTTTCATGAGAGCATTGATTTAAGAGTAGTCTCATTTTTAAATTTTTTTATTATTAGCATTAACTCCATTCGGCTATCATTCCGTGGATACTGTACTTTTCCATGCCTTTTCAATTTTCCTAATCAATGAGATTTAATTTCTTTTTCTGTTTTTCATGTATTTTCTTAATTTGTTGTACTCAATACTAATTAACTTTTATTAACTATCATCCATAAACATTATCTATAAAAAAATTTAAGTTTGATTTAGATTATCAATCCTTATTTCATGATCTTGGCCCTTCAAACTATGCATGCTTCACTATACATTTTGCACTAACAAGATAATGCGATGACTCTTTGTCTTTTCACATAAAAAAAGCGAGGCAGAAATGATTGAGCAAACAATACATATATACAAGAAAAGATACATCTCTCCTTCTTGATGAAGAAGAAATAAGAATGTTCTCTTATGCATTCTAGGCACAAATTTATTTTCTTCCTTTTAACCTTTTAATATGTATAATATTTTTAAAAGTTTTAATAATTTAGAATATTAGCAACAAATTTTAAATATAACTAAAGACAAGATGTGTACAAATAAAATATTCAAGAAAAAAATGATCAAAGAAGGGAACTCTAAAAAATTTAATCATATTAAATGTGTCAATATCAATTACATCAATGATATTTGTTTTAAATTTTTTAATTCTAACTCATGTAATGCATGAAAAATTGTCTAGTTATTATATATGTACGTATATATGTATAATACAAGAGGCGAATCCAAATTAAACCTAACCTAATTCATGACCTTCATTATCATTAGCATGTGCAATTAATTTAGAAGCTCAAGACAGATCAGTAAGCCTTACTGGTTTATATGAAGCGGCTGGGTGCTACATACTTCACAGCTCTTTTTACGAACCACGCGGACAAATGGCTTCAGAAATTCCTGCAACTGTGCAACGATAACGAAAAATCTTAGTCGGTCAATAGACCATCGAACATTCACAGATAAATGAAGATATTTAAAGGTCGACGAAACAAACTAACTTATGTTGTAGTAAGCGCAGCGTAGCCTCTGACTCGTCTTCGACCTTGCTTCTTCTCTCCACTTTGAAGTCCCCTGAACGAGATAGCTGAAGGAAATGAAATTTATAACCAATCAACTTGATTTTTTTTAATGCGTATATAGCACCAGCTTCATGGTTTTTTTAATTTTAATTATGCTAAATGAACTTTTTCTTAACAATAATTTATATTTTAAAGAAAACAGCTGGAGGCAGACATTAGAGTCCAAAAATACTGTGCGCAAATATTTTATATATATATCTGTCTTTGTTAAGAAAATGTCATTGAATACTTTATTTTATTAGAGATAGTAATTTGTCATGATTTATGTCATATAAATTACTTAAAAAATTATGAATTTCATAATTGCGCTTACTCGGTCAAAAAATAACTAAAATATTAACACCTTCTTTTTTCTTCTTGTAAGAACCTCTCACATCTTGTATGCTGGCTTAAGGTGTTTTTGACTGAAAACTTTTAAAATAAAAGAAAGTTGTTCCTCTTCATTTATTTTTCAAGGTATGTTTGGTTGGAGTGAGAGAAGGAGAGAAGAGGGGAGGTGAGGGGGAGGAAGGGGAGAGGAGGGGAGGGGAAATTTGTAGGTTTTGGAGGGGAGGGTAACATCTCCTCCTCTCCCCCTCCCCCAACCAAACATACTCTAGGTATCTAATAAGAGGAGGGGAGGGAGCCCCTTGTTTGGTTAAGAAATTAGAGGGACCCCCCTTCAATTTGAATTTTTTTTAAGGACAGAGGATAAAGAAAATGATTAGGATTAATTTAAACATTTATTTTAAAAACTTAAACTATCTTTGATACTAAGATTATCTCTCTCTCTCTCTTAAAATAAAATAAATATTATCACCTTACAAAAATTAATATATAATTTTTTTAATGTATAAAATTTTAATATTTTTTATTAGATTCATTGATGAAATATAATATTAATGTGTTTGTTCTTCAATTTTTTTATTGATATATGTTCATATTCGTAAATTAAAAACTTAATAAATTATAATATAACAATTTTTTTAAAGTAAAAATAAAAATCAAGTTAAATTTGATAGGAATAAAATTATTAACTTATTTTTTATTTTCATCATCTCTCCTTCTAAATCAAACAAAGGTTTACTAAAATTTTTCCCTTTACTTTAAACCCAGCACACCCTTATAGCTCGTTTAGTAGCACGGAAGAGTTATTGATTAAAGTGAAAGTGAAAGAGGAAGTGGGGTTTTAAAACATGTTCGTATGCACATGAAAATGGATATAATTTTTAATTAAAAAATATATCTTATAGTATAAAAATACCAGAATAAAAAAATCTAAGTCAAATTTAATCTACACTGTTCAAAGGATATTTGTTTGCACAGTTACATTTATAAAAAAAATTAAATATTAAATTTAAACTATTAATATTAAATCTAGATTTTCCAACATATTTGTTAAAAAAATATTAAATTTAGAGGATTCAAATTTTGAACTGGTATAGCGAGACTAGAGCCAATAATTCAAACTAGCTTGAATCCGCCAAAAAAAAAATTAAAACCAGACTTGGCTATATGAATTTTTTTAAGAGGATGGGATACTTTAAGTTTAATTTAAATAAGTCCAATTTGAATTGAGCTCGGCCAAAATATACCCGACTGTTGAAATTTCCAACTATATATATATATATATATAAAGTTAGTAATTTTGGCTCAGCCTGATTGGTCAGCCTGAATCTGATTGAAAAAAGTTAAGGTCAAACTTAATTAAATAGGTTTTTTTAAAAAGGATAAAATACTTTAAACTTAATTAAAATTAAATCCTACTTAAATAAACATGACCTACTTGAATTATTAGCTCTAAGCAGGACCTCAGGGAGCAAAGCCGATCCATTTTGGACAATGAGTTGTTTAGGTAAATTTGAAAAATTCATTCCACACTGATTATTTTAATTAGCAGATGTGGGATATCTATTAAGTTATATAATTTTTATTTTTTAATTATTTAAATAATATTTACACACCGGATACAAATGGAACAGGTGTGGATACTGGATAGTTAGTTTTTTTTTTTTTTTGAAAAAAAAAAAATCTGGTACGCTTGGTGTATGAAGAAAACCATTGGTAAAAGTCCATAAATTTTGCCACTATTTATAAAAATACCACCGCGGCACCACCTCTATCTTTGCATATCTTTTTTTTTTTTTTAAGCTGGTATAAAACGTAGTTGTGAAAAGTAACTTTTGTAGTAGTGGCATGAATTATTTTGATGGATTATAAATTTATAATCATAATAAAATGACTTTGTTTAATGTTCAAATTTTATGACATCTTTATTTTTATATTTTCATTAACATTTTTTTCATCTATTACGATTATTTAAATATTTTTTAAAACAATCCAGTTTTTTAAAATCATGATTATTTTTAGAAAAAATAAGAATATCCTAAAATTTCTCAAAAATCATTGAGACGATGGGACAAGAGGCTTAATTGGTGCTGCCTCCCACAACAAGATTAATATTAATCATAAGATTAATATTTTGAATTATGAGATTTGATCTTTTTTAAAAACATTTCTTTTTAATTTGTATTTACTATGCTTTTAAGCTTTTCAAATTAAATTTTAACAGTTTTGAATTTGATTATTTATTTTTTTATAATTTAAAATTGTATAATAATAATTTTATAAAAGATCAAATCTAAACCCTTTAAATCTTGATCAAATGGTTAAAAAATCAAAAGAATGAAAAGAGGATGAAAAGAGAAGAGGAGAGAATTCCCAATCCATATGTCACCACATCCTCTACAGAGAATCCCCTTTTATAGGAGAAGATACATTTTTTTTAAATAAATAAAAAGAGTAGGTTCCACCATTGCAAAAATAAAATTATTTATGTAAAAATCTTGATCAAATATGTAGCACCATTCAACATAATTTGAGATTTACAATAATCTAATGAAAATAATTATTGTTGCAACGCTTAAAAATTTGTAAAAAGCATATTCTTGAAAATGAAAGTCAATTTTGATACCTTAAAAGTCTTCAAGAACTTCAAAGCAAAAATTAACATGTGGTATATATAGTTAAAATTTAACAATCAAAGTTAACAGCATTAAGTCAAAGTTAATGGACTAGTCACTTTTACACCCACTCATATAACTAATGGATATTTTTATTATTTTTCTTATTTTATGATATTGGATGCCTCTAGATGATTAATTTGTAAATATTTTTGTCTCTTTAACTTTTTATGAACCATGCAGACGAATGGCTTCAGAAATTCCTGCAACTGTGCAACAACAACGAAAAATCGTATTCGGTCAATAGATCATCGAACATTCACAGATAAATGAAGATATTTAAAGATCAACGAAACAAACCAACTTATGTTGTAGTGGCACTGCGTAGCCTTTGACCCTTATTCGACCTTGCTTCTTCTCCACTTTGAAGCCCCTGAAGGAGAGATAGCTGAAGGAAATGAAATTTATAACCAATCAACTTGATTTTTTTTAATGCATATATAGCACCAGCTTCATGATTTTTAGTTTTAATTATGCTCAATGGACTTTTCTTAACAATAATTTACATTTTAAAGAAAACAGCCGGAGACAGACATTAGAGTCCAAAAACAACTGTGGGCAAATATTTTATATATATCTGTCTTTATTATGAAAATGTCATTGAATACTTTATTTTATTAGAGATAGTAATTCGTCATGATTTACGCCATATAAATTACTTAAAAAATTATGAATTTCATAATTGTGCTTACTCAATCAAAAAACAACTAAAATATTAACACCTCCTTTTCTCTCCTCATAAGAGCCTCTTGCATCTTATACATTGGTTTAAAGTGTGTTTGATTGAAAACTTTTAGAGTAGAGAAAAGTTGCTTCCCTTCCTTTATTTTGTTAGTGTCTAACAAGAGGAGGGGAGGGGAGTCCCTTGTTTACTTAAAAAAAAATTAGAGGGGACCCTACCCTCTTCTCTCCTCCAATTTGGAGTTTTTTGAAGGAGAGGGGAGAGAAAAAATGATTAAGATTAATTTAACATTTATTTTAAAAATCTTAAACTATCTTTGACATTAAAAGATTATCTTTTCCTCTCTCTTTTTTATAACAAAATAAATTTTATCATATTTAATGTATAAAATTTTAATATTTTTCAGATTCACTGATAAATTTTAATATTAATGAATTTGTTCTTCAAATTTTTTTATTAATATAAGTTCATATTCTTAAAATAAAAACTTAATAAATTATAATATAACAATTTTTTTCAAAGCAAAAATAAAAATCAAGTTAAATTTGATAAGAATAAAATTGTTAACTTAGTTTTGATTTCCCTTTCCTCTCTTGCTAAACCAAACAAAGGTTTATTAAAACCTCTCCCTTGAACCAAACACACTGTTAGGGTTTTTCCTTCCCAATCCTTTTGGTTCCTATCCTTTATCTTATCCTTCATTCCTTTCTCCCCTCGGTTATCCTTCCTATGAGAGTGTGTTAAGAGTCTAAGTGTTATACAGCGGGGTGTGTGTATAAAGCTCTAAGTGACATGAGTTTTTACGTGTGATCTAAGTTTTACAATTTTTGTGTGCATGAGTGGTGCTCTTTCAATCCTTTTCCGGTGCTCTTTCTCCCCTATTCTCCATCTATGGAAATAGAGGAACTGCAACGTTCTGAAGGTAGTAGTTACCATAGTGGAAGACCCTAGAGTGAAGTTTAACTTCAATGGCAAATGGTTGAAGAAGTTTAAACTCTTGTGGGGAAGCTCATAGCCCTTAAGCCTCAAAACAGATAAACTATTAAGAAGATGACAGAACAAGCTTGGGTGGTTAGAATAAAGTTTTCTATTTAGAATGATAGTTCTAATAATCATTATTTTTTTAACTTTGAAAGAAGAGATGGACTGCTACATGTTTTACAAGAACAACTATGGAGGATCATCTAAGGCTATGCTTTGTGCATTCGAGAACTACAACCAAATATGACTATTGACGAAATTATGTTTGCCTCATGCCTTTTTGAATTCAAGTCCATGGCATACCAACAATAAGAATGACCCATGGTAACATTATCACTATAGGTGGTGGAGTTGGCAAAGTTTTAGCATATGAAGCCCCTTATAGCTTTAATGGTATCAATCGCAACTTTCTCTCCATCAAAGTTGACGCAGTGTTAGAGGTCCCCTTTGTAGATGGTTTCTAGTTTGCAAGATTAAATTGGCAAAGTTCCTAGGCAATTGTGAAATTTGAAAAACTCCATTTATTCTGTTATAATTGTGGTCTATGACTTCCCATCCAATATGTCAGAAACTAACTTGACTAAGGCAAGATATGGTGGTTGGACAGGAGCTATATATCAAAAACTAGTGGAAAAAATCATCTACCTCACTCAAATAGGAGATTAGCAATCAGAACAGACGACCCTAAAAGAGACGGCACCTAACTCTTCCTCTAAAGGCAATCAAGTGATAACTTAGCAACATGAACAATGAAAAATGAATAACAAATTTGTTATTGTCGACCCACTCATGATTAACAAGCATAATCGTGCCTCGAATGACTTTGCAAGTACCAAGGCAAGATGTGGTGTAATCCTAAAAATGATAAAGCGTCCTTTTCTACAAGGATTGCACCCCATCTTCAACCAAAAAAATATAGATGTGGATTAGCCCTTGACAACTCGGCCCACTTCCCTTAATACTAACACTTGGTCCACAAAGTATTAGCTTCGATGTACTTGTTGGGCATGATGACTCCTTTAATTCCAATGGAAAAGCCCAGAGCCAAAGCCTCATCCTTTCATACGCAATTGAATCCACAAACATTAAATACATTGTGGTATGATAGATATCCAATATAATAACCCCAAATTCACATGGGCTAATAATAGAGAGGATTTTATTAGAAAATGATTACGTGCTCGTTTGGATTTCAGTTGGACATAATAGATTATAAAAATAATTGATTAAGTAGTAGATTTTAATCATAATTGATTATGTTAGAACGCAATCTGTTTGGATGCTATTTTTCTAAAATTAATTTTAACAAAACTGAAGATATTTAGATAATTTTTTTAGAATCAATTCTAGCTGTATAAATTACCATAAAGGACATTATTTTTTAAAATTAAATTATTAATAAATTTGTATGTAATAGTATTAAAAATCTAATAGTATTTAAGAAGTAAAATATATTATTTAAACTACATATATAATTAATTAAAATTTAAATTATATTAATACTAACATTTAAATTTATGTAAATAAATAACTAAATATATCTTACTTAAAATAAATTCAAGAAAAGACAAGAAAATTAAATTCTTAAATATAAAATAGTAATTTTACAACAACTAATGAAGATGATAATATACAAGTTGGTCTTTAATAATATCACGAATACTAGTCATAGCTGATGAAGAAGATGTCACGGATGAATATGCATCAATGTCATGGCCTTCTTGATCCTCATGGTCTGCCTAATCTTCCCTCTCATGACGTATAAAATCAGCATCAGAGTTAGAGTGTCTTCTAATGAAATTATGTATCGCCATTAATGCAACAACAATTTGAACTTGTATATCGTAGTTATAGCTAAGCATGTTGCGTAAAATTGCAAACCTGTTCTTCTAAACTCCAAATATTCTTTCTATTGTGCACCGTAAACTTGAATAAAAATAATTAAAAACCTTATTATTATTTACAAATCCAATTGATCTTTTAAAATCAGGAAGATGGTAGCGTTCCCGTCTATACGGACCAAGGTATCCATTTGGTGTTGGATAGTTAGCATCCATCAAATAATATTTACCTTGTAAAAAAAGATGACTATTAATGTCTGTAAGCTGGAAAGTCTAACACAAATAAATTGAATAAACAAATATATCTGAAGGCGAATGTGGAAAGTTCATGGATCGAGTTGTCAGGGCATGTTGAAAAATGCGAGCATCATGTGCAGTGCCCTCCCATCTAGCCAAGATAAAAGTAAAGCACATGTCCCAATCACACACAGCCATTACATTTTGCGTAGGGATTCCTTTTCTTTCAATATATTTTGATTTTTCACTAGCAAGGGCTACACATGAAATATGTGTGCCATCAATTGCTCCAATGGCATTTTTAAAGAATAGCCAATATCGCTTATCATTTTTCTATTTTGTTTGATATGTGATAAAAGGACCTGTCTAGTGGTTTGATATATTCCATTGCAAGTTTCGAGCAGGCCATTAAAACTTCATGAAAATGTCTATGAATAGTCTCTCCTGAATGTTGAAATCTTTCTTGTGCCATCCTATTTCCCAACCTATGTTCAATTGTATTTAAAAAAATTGCAACCATTTCCTGTACTCTCATTCGCCTAGTATCCTTCAATCCATGCCGTGTCAATTCACTGCATAATTGATGAAACACATATGGTTCTATTCTAAACATTTCATAACAACGAACTGGGTATCCCTTTAAAATTTCATTTACCCACAAATGACCTGTATATTTACTATTTCTTCATGGCTCGTTGCACAAATGTTTTGTTCATACAACCCAATGAGAGCACTAACTTCTTGGGCTTTTTTAGCTTTTTTTTAGACAAATCTTCCATGTGTCTTGTTATCTGTAACCAAACACATAAATAACACGTGCACTTAATTTCAATTATAGATACATCTAAATAAGTTATCTATAGAAATACCAATAACTTTTCCACAACATTGTAATACTTGATTACCATATATAAAAAGTACATAAGTAGTTCAAGAGGCTACATAAGTCAAATTCAACAATATAATACAAACATGTTAGACTACTCTTTAAGTAAGATCATATGCTTATAATAAGTTTTAAAACTCTAATAATCAATCATTTTTGTAACATTCATATCTCAACCACTTCAAAACACTTTCTTTATCATCCTTCATTGTCAAAAACATCACTCTAGCCTCTCGGGACATGAAGAGTGACATGCATCGTGAAACCCAATGTTTGTCAGTTGCAACTTCTTCCCATTGTTTGACTATAGATATGACTTCAGGAATTGATGTTTCCTTGGCCTGTTGAGATTCTTCCTTTATTGTCTGAGCTATTACACTCATTGCATCTACTATTTGACTTGTACTAGGTAACTTATTCTTCTTTCTATTGTTACTGCTTTCGTCCCTCTTCCTCTTACCACTGCCTCTACTTAAGGTTCCTTGAGAAGCATTTAGAACTACTCTATTAAATTCACCTCTTACTCCAATAGTTCCTAAGATCTCATCACTATCTTCTGAACCTTCCTCCAAATCAATACCCTCATTTGCCATATCTAGCCGATACACCTCTTCATCCTCACCTTCATTCCTATTATAAATGTTAGGCAAAACTCCACTTGAAGGTGCCCATACTCTAGGTCCATTGGTGATAGTACCTTAGAACAACTCAGTTAATTCATTGGTAAATGGTAATCCTTTATGTCTGAATTTCTCGTATAATGGATTTTTTTGCACATAAATTATCAATAATATTACAAAATACACAAATAAATAAAATAAATATAAAGCCTCACATAATAACATCATACCAATATCTTCTTCTCCCACCAATTATATGAAGTATCCACAGTATTGTTTGCGTAATCCCAACCCAATCTTGTCTCACTTGAAACCAACATATCTCACAGTATCCACTCTTTTTTTATATTATCCCACTTATTCTTGAATTGTTGTCTATCATGTTTCTGTCCAGTCCTCTCATTGAAGGTAGAAATTATGTTGAGCCATCCTGCTTTGGTAAAACTACCACCATTTCTTTGTGATTTTTGAGCTTGGTCCAAACAAATGTCAATAAATATTCTAGTATTTCTTTGATCCCATAAAGCTTTTGACTTATTATTACTCATTATACTATATAAAAAATTAACATGTTAATTATAGGAATTATAATTAAAATATTACATGACAAAAACTTGACAATTTTCAGAGGAGCTAAATTCAACAAAGACTCACACAACAAAAAAATTGACTAAATGACCCCTATATATGCAAAACATACTGTTTGAGAATAAAACTCTGGTAATCAGTGATCATACAGACCAAAACCAGCAAAGAGTTCAACTAGGCACAAAACTAACTTTTAACAACTTTCCCATAATTTGCAAATGTACAAGATTTTGACTAAAATCAGGTTTCAATAGCTAAAAAATTAACTTTTAACAGTTCTCCTATATTCAGCACAGAGTTCGACTAGGCACAAAACTAACATAGAAACAACATGAAAAATCAACTTTCACCCACATTATTATTTACAAATGTTTAAGAGTTATAAATGGTTCAAACCACACAAAACTAAGCCAGCAATCGCGAGAACAAATCCATCCATGCATAGATCAAAGTGAAGAGGAAAATAGAGTCTGACCAAGATCAAACATTGCACCTGACTAAGATCGTCCAAAAAAAGGTCAAAGAAGATCATTTACCTCTGAGCTGGACCGAGTGAAGAGGACCACGAGCAGATCAGCGACGGATGGAGGACCACGAGTAGATCAAGGCAAGAGAGTATAAATAAAGCTTACTACCTTCCTCGACTATGACAGGAGATCACCGCTACTGGACGCAACTCGGAGACGGCGGACGGAGGAGGCGATGCCACGAGGACCACAGATCTGCACAAGTTGGCGGATGGCTGAAAGATTGTTGCCTCTGTGAGAACTCACTGTGAGACAGCACAACTGTTAGAGGTGGATGGATAACGGCAAAGATGGAACGACGATGAGACGGCGGACGGTGACTACGTTGGGGGTGGGTGGATGATGGTAGAGAGACGGCACTACTGTGAAGACTGAATGAGAGAGGAGATCAGAAATGAGAAAGCCGCGACTGAAATGAGACAAATGACGATTAGAAAGAAGAGAGAGAGAGAGCGAGTGAAGGGCAACATAGGTTTTCAGCTTTCACAGAGAGAGAGAGCACGTGAATAATGGTAAAAAAATTTTAAGCTGAAGCTGGTTTTGGTAGATTATGGATTAATGTGTATTTTGCCTCTTTAATCGATTATTGTATTTTTGTGGTAATTAGGTAATTTCAATCAAAAAATTGATTATGGGCTGTAAAATTGATTTTTGTGTCTATCCAAACACACGCATACATTGTGCCATCTATAACATACCCTGGCGAGAACATCATTATAACGCCCTTTAACAAGTATTGGAACCTGTTGGCCTAGATTGCTCGCCTATACTCCTAGACTTGACTCCTCCAACTGACAAAGTCGAGAAAAAAATTTAGATTAAACTTGATTTGGCCAGAGCACCTTGAACTAATGGAAATCATCTATGATAACTAGATTTTGACGTGTGCATTTTTTTCACTTATTTGTAAGTATTGTAAAAACTTATTTGAATTTTTTTTTTTGAATATTTGTAAGGATCTTTTATCATTTGAAGGGTAAGCATAAAATTTTAAAAAAATAAAAATTTTAAACTAATTTATTTTTGTGTACTTGTGATATGTTACTTTATGTCGATTTAAATTTACATAAAAAAATTATTATATTTTAAAATTTGTTTTACTCAAATATATTAAAGGCATAAATAATAATTTATTTTTATTTTAAAATATATTGCTCTCATAATAGATTTAAGAATGCAACAGCTACATTTGTGCTCTTCGTTCAATTGATGTGAGGGAAACTTTGAAATTATATTAAAGAATAAATTTTCTGTTAAATTCTACCCCATAATTAATTGAAAAAGAAAATTTATTCTCCAACAAATATTATTAGATCTGTATATGCTCTGTCTAAATTTCTAAGCATATTATGCAAAATAAAATTAACTTATTTTCTTTAAAAATTTGTTGGTCAGTGCATCATGAAAAAAATAAAACATCTATCATAATAAATCACACACTATAATTTATGTTTAAATTTTTAAAATTACAAATGCAGGTTGTAAAAACCCATGAATTTTATTAAGAATTATTTTTTTATTAAATAACTAAGCGTGGTAATGAATCATTGACTAAATATAAAAGATATTATTTTTTTATGTGGCAAGTTGAGAGTAATAAACTTGTCTATTATATACAGGGATTGGAAAGTGATACTTGGTCTATGATGTCATGTGAAATGATTAAAAATAATTAAGTAGGATTAGATCATTTAAGTGTACTTTAATTAGTTTTGGGATAATTTTAACAAACGTGAGTTGGTCGCTTGGTGGAAATTATTATGGCTGCTTAGGTCTGGAGATCGACGATTCTCCTGGAGCCCGAAGAGAAGTTTCATTTCGTTCTCCTCATAATCAGTAAAATTACTGTTATGCCCTCCACATGACGTGTCAGAATTTTTTTTTCTTTCCTCTCCTCCCCGATCTGATTTAAAAGTTCTTTCGTCCAAACAAAAAAAAAGAAAAAAAAAAAGATTTAAGCGTTCTGCCCTGTTGAGAGAGAAAGAAGTCTGAAGGCCTGGAAGCTTCAAACCCCACCTTTCCTGCTCCATTCTAGTTCGCCGACATGGGAGCGTGCTTCTTCTGTTGCCTTCTCTGTTCTATCTCTGTGCCGTCTTTGTGAGTGCGTGAGGATCTTTTTCATCTTTCCCTAGTTTTGCTTCGCATGGCCTAAGCTTCTTCCTCCTCCTTTGTTCCTGTCGTGGTGTGGGGGTTTGTTGGACCTTCTTCTTGTCCCTCCTTCGTGTCCGCACGACTTGTATTCTATACTCCCTGATTCTGGCGTTACTGATTTCAGGTATGAATCTTCAAGTCCTTTTTGTTTGTGCTGGATCTCTGTGTGAAGGTGTAAATTTGTTGTTGTGAAATTGACTCTCTCTCTTTCTGTTCTAATTTTCTGTGTGAATGTGAGGGGCTTTGAATCTTTTCCTTCCTCTTTGATTTTTGTGAGTATTTTTTTTTTTTATATGGCTGAGATTGTAAACTTTTCCCCTGTTCTCTGCCTGCTGTCGTGTGTGTCTAGATGGGGAGGGGAAATTAATTTCAAATTGAAATTTTTAGTATTAGGAGCACAGAAAACCCACTATACTTGTCAAGGTCGATCCTAGTTCTTGGCCCAAGAGAGAAACATCTGTGTCTATTAGTTCATTTTCATCAAATGCTACTCTTTCCATTTTCATTCTACCAAGAAGGTGATAGCATTACACATGATCGTATAGTTAAGGTTCGCTTGAAGTTCGACCCTAGAGAATATACATCATTGACTATGAAAAAGAAAGTAGAGTAAGTGTTCTCCTTCATTGCATTATTTAAGATGAGTATAATGGAAACGTCAATGTTACATCCAGTGAAGTTTGTGTGAACTGATAGCTATTTGGCCTATGGTGTAAAATAATTTAATTAAATATGGAAGTCTTTGAATCATGCATACACCCATTGGTAATCTTATTATCTGCATTGAGTCTACAAAGCATTTTACATGCTAGCTTTTGCTTCAACACTTGATGATGCAAGCAGTTTGGTCAGTCGACATATTCATTAATTATCCGTTCCTTAAGATTCTACCTAATAGTATACTTACTATCAATTAATAGGTTTATTTGAGCATGCATTTCATCTCATAAAGTTTTTAAAATATTATATCCTGCATGCTGCCTGTATAATGGGTATTAGTTTGAAAATGCTTTAGAAATAATATTTCTCTCATGCTTAAACCTGCATGACCTCTTGGAGTTGTGTGGTTGATAAATTATAACATTGATGTTGTTTAATGATTTCATTTTGAGATACATATATGATGCTTGATAAAATGTGTGGTGGAAGAACATTGGATTTTTTTTTTTTAAGTGAAAAAGTGTATTGCGTGTATATGTATACACACTCGCGCAATCTTGATTAAATATTAGTGATGTGTTAGAGAGGTGTTAGAAAGACAAGTTAGAATATAATCAAATTAAAGTGTTGGATAGAGAAGCATGTATATGGCGTTGAAGGGATTGGAAAAATTGAGTCTTAAAATATATTGATTTGAGAACTTAGTTGAATATGGTGTTATTAATATTGAAAAAGAATTTTTAAAAAAATTGAGTAAAGCCCATAAAATTTTCTTTTTATATTAAATAGGGTGTTTAGAAGAAGAAAGATTTGATTGAAGGCTTATGGAATGGATTTTAGTTATTGGAAGCACTACAGGTAAGTGGATAGCGTTCCAAATGACTTATTAGTGAATTTATTTTCTTCACAATATCGTTTAAGTACATTCATGACTATCATATCGTTATATTTTAAATTCTGTTATCAACGTTTAACATATTTTAAAGTTTGTTGCCTTTGAATTAGGAGGAACCAAAGTGCCTAGACCTGATGGCTACTCAGGTACTTCTACCACAGCTCATGGGTATTATTGGCCCACAAATTATAGAATGGTTAAATCCTTTTTTGGTGATGGGTTATCTCCGTGGGGGATTAATGAGACAGACATGATTATGATCCCCAAAACTGATTCTCTCGAATCTGTCACCCAATTTTGACATATAAGCCTTTGCAATTTTTCCTATAAAATTTTCCCTAAACTCAGCCAATAGAATGAAGACTATAATGCCCACTATTATTTCTGAAAATCAGAGAGCATTTGTACAGGGTAGAGTAATTCAGGATAACATATTGATTGTCCATGAGTTGTTTCACTATCTGAAAGCCAAAGGGGTGATTACTATGAGATGGCTGTTAAACTTGACATGAATAAAGCCTTTGACAGGTGGGATTTTCTTAAAGCTGTCTTACTCAAATTGGGTTTCTCTACTTGGTGGGTGGCACATGAGGTGTACAAAAAACTGGACGGGACTGGACTATAGCTTAACTGGAGTCTAGTCCTTTTCATGAAAAGGACTGGCTTAGTAACCCGTAGTCCGGTCTGGTCCTGTGAAAACCCGAAGATTAACAAGACTGGACTTGGTCCATAGGACTGGAAGACTGGTCCTATTAGTCCAATATTCACTTGGCCTTTTTTTTTTTTTTTTTTTTCTATGATGACCAATAATCTATTTCAACTTAACTAACTCAATTAAGATAATAAAAATACTTATAATCATAATAAATCCATAATAATTTTTAAAACCAAGAAAATAATATTTTAGTTACAGTCCAAACTCCAAGTGATTTAAATACATAACTTCAATAAAAAATCAGAGAAATGACCGAAAATAGACCAGAGGAAAAAATCAGCAAGAACAGAAGTAATAAAAATCAGCCCACAACATGTTCCTTCAAAGTTCGAACGGATCAAGATCAGAGTACAAAGTGCAAGGCAGGGACTAGGGCTTTGGCTCACTGAACAAATTGAGAATGAGAGCAAAGTTGAGTAAGTGGCTGAGATGCTAAGTGCTGTTAAGTAACAGTGTTGAGGTTTTTTTTCGATCAGAGTGCAAAGTGCAAGCTAAGATTAAGACTTTTTTTTTCTAAGACTTATTAATTAATAATTTATAAATTAATTTTAATTATATTAAAATAATTATATAGGACCAAACCAGACCACTTAGTCCAGATGTTTGGTCTCTAGTCTGGTCTTACCTGAAAAATCAGTCCTGTCTTTTTGGTCTTTTTGGTCCTATAAAACCAGCATTTTACAAGACTGGATAGGACCGGATTTTTATGAGTCGGATTGGACTGAACGAGACCACGAGACTTTTGCACAGCTCTAATTACTACTATTAAATTTAGTGTAATATTTTTTGGGAAAATCGTTGGTAGAATTAGACCTGAGAGAGGGCTCAGCTAGGGAGACCCTCAATCACCCTACTTATTCTTTATATATCATTGGGATGGATATTAGCATGACAAAAAAATGAAATCAAAGAAAAGGATTCGATCTTTTTTTTTTTTTTCCAATTAAGCAAGTTACCACTCTATGATTTTCAGAATAATTAAGTGAAGATTCTTAAGGTAGTTGTTATTTACCAGATTCTTTAGTAAAAACATAACGCATAAATATTTTAAAAATTTAGTAACACATTTCAAAACATTGCTCTTCATGTCATAATTCTGTTGAATAACTTGATATCCAAGGATCATATCTAAGGTTTTTCTACCCTGTTGATGTAAGAAGCTGATACTCTTAGCCGACACTAGAACATTAAAATCATCCATAGCATAAAAAAAAAAAAAAGACCATATACGATCACAATATCATCACAGACCAGGCCATATGAACCTGTTTTTCTTTCCTGTTGTCATCAAACTAGAACATTTACTTTAAGACAATTTATTTTCAATAAACTCAAGTAAGAAGGTTGGAGTAGCCTCCAGGGCTGGGTCGTCTGAGATTGTCACTCATTTCTTGTTATCACACTCATCGAGTAACAAGAACAAGATGAAATTACTGTTTTATTCAATTAATCTCCCTGTTTTACTGTATCATTTTTCAACTTTGTTTCCTTGTAAAAGGAAAAGGATTCAAGCAGACGAATCAAGACAACAATTCTAAGACCAAAAATAGAACAGAAAATTCTTGAAATCATTGAAAACTTCAACCAAAGCGCAAAAAGGAAGAAACTCGGAACGCAGACAAATGATGAAAGTACATACGAAGTTTAGTTGAAGAGAACAAGAAAAGGGTTTACCTTTTCTTTTTGTTGGGGGGGGGGGGGGGGAATCTTCAATGGGGCTTTTGGTAGAAAATATGAAGCGGGAAAAAACCTTGTCTTCCTGGATTTACTCTTATGCAAGCAGAGTTGAAAAATGAGTAGGTCCAATTCTTATGGGTTTGAGAAATTCAATTTTTCAAAATGCCTCCAAATCTTAAGGTCCAGTCTTTATATTAAGGGTTTAGGGCTGGGTCTGTAAGCCTGATTATAAAAAAATAAAAAAATTAATGTTATAATTTAATTAAAATATTTTAAAATTAAACATAAAATAAATTAAGATAATTATTCTAGTTGACAAAAAAAATATTACTTTAGTTAAACTTGGTGAGAATTAAAGCACCCATCTAAGACAATCAAAGATCAAAGTGTCAGTCACCTAGCACCCACAGCAAGACAATAATTGTGAGTGAAAAGTAGATCGTGAGAGGTTAGAGGGAGAGCAAATGCGATAGATGTGAGGGGTGATAGGGCAAGTAGATGTTGGAGGGATAGTCAAGTAATTTTGAGTGAGGCAGAGATCAGAGACAAGTAGGGATGATTGACGGCGAATGGGAGAGCAAAGTATGCTAATTGAAGTAGAGATAAGCAACGGACGACAAGAGAGCATATGAATAAGTGTGAAATTTTCAATCTTTAAGCTGAAAAAGTGAGAGTTTCAATCAAATAAAGAAGGTTGGGAGAACGAAAGTTGAGAGATTAGAAATTAGAAAAGTTTAAGCCTTAAAGTTTTTTTCTCTACACACCATTTTTATATAGATTGCAAAAAAAAAAAAAGAAAAAAACGATAACAAGGCTTGAAGGGTCATTCGGGTTTAAGCTTATTTTTTAAAAGTTTATTAAGGTCGGGTTTAAAAGCTCAATTATTTAAAAAAAATTATTTTTTAATCTGAACCTTTATTTAAATGCAACTTACAGGCTAGGTCTTTATTTTCCACTTTAGATACGAGCTTGAGTGAACATTTAACGAAATGGGGAGATCCAACCAAATGGGGGAGGTGGGACCCACTACTGTGACGCGTGGCAGGTGAGAGGGCGGCGTGACTGAGAACTTTGGGGATGGCTGGAGACGAAAAAGCGACTGACCTTTCGTTTGCTATGCTATAAAATGATGCGTCATATCATGTGTTCGTAGTGTATTTTCATAAGGCTTATCCACTGTCCGGACATTCCCTACCTCAAATACTTGCTAATTATTTTCTTTGGTTTGGCTAATAAAGTTGTAATCTTGATATGATTTAAGTTTATAACTAAACAAAAAGCTCAGAGACATGTGGAGTTCATGACAGTTAACAGCAGTTAAACTGCAGCTTACTATTATGTGATATTTATATAAATTAATTTTTAAATAATGACTTACTATAATGAGTTTTGTTTGTAAACCACATGACATTTGTTATAAATTTTCTATTTTATATTGTTAGTTGATATTGATTATGCAAAGCCAAATCATAGTTAAGTGAAAAGACAGAGGTTAATAGAAAAATATGTAAGGAGAGAGTTTATCAAAAACAAAAATTCACCTGTGACCGCAAGAACAAATAGTAATAAAATTGAATGAACGAAAGACATTCAATATCTTTTAAAGTTATATTTGATATGTTTTAAGCAAAATCCTATGTTGGGTCCAATTGACTGTAATATAAATTAATCCATTGTATAATTAATAATGAATGATTCCAAACAATTTTACATACAGATTAAGTATTAGCTAATCTTATCAAGTAAAAAATTACTTCCTCCCATCCTAATCATCGAATAAACTTAATCAACTTCATGGTTTGTTGTTATTGAAAAATGATAGTTAATATTTTTAAACTTATAAAAAATGTTTAACTTCCCAGTTTTATCCTTCAGTGAAACTAATTACCACAATAAAGTGTGTCCAAGAATCACACTTGATATAATTAAGGAAGGGCAATATGGAAACAGATCAACCACTATGTCTTTACCTTATATTTAGAATCAAATAGGGATTAGGATTGAAGGGAATAGATATTAATGGAAACTCCTAACTTCCTAATTTAGGGTGAGAAAGTTTGGTCAGATTTTGTTACAAGAGCCAGAGTTCAAGTAAGAATTTTTTGAGATTTTGTTCAATCTGTTTTGGGAAAATAATTATGTATTTTTCGTGTTACTGATCTGCGATACTACATCATTGATATACAATTATATATTAATTCTAAACAAGTTTATGTCTGATTGTTTGGTTATGTTGATTTACGATAGTATATCAATTATATATCACTGATATTAAGGCATATCAACAAAAATTTATCAATTTATTTATTATTGATTTATAATCGTATATTAATGATATAGTCTCATAAATTAGTAATGGAGTTTTTTTTAATGTTTAATATTCTCTTCGTAATATCTAGGAAAAATAGAGAGGAAGAGAGAGAAAAAACTCTGCGATGAAGATAGTGATCCAAGCAAATTAGATCGAAAATTCTGATAAAGAAAAACATTATACGAGAGATAAATATGATGATCCAAGAAAATCAGATTCAAAAATTTGATAAAGAAAATATTCAAAGATGATAAATCAGAGAGGGAGCATGCACAATATGATTTTTGATAATGAAAATGAAAGACCCAATCAGCTAAAGATTAGTTAAATCAAATATATTCTATTTTAATAATAAATATATTCTAAGGATAAAAAAGGAAAACACATCTAATTGATTTTATGAATGGGTCATATAACAAAATATTTAAAAATCTTATTCATAATTTATGGGAGTTATATTTTTTAAGGTCATTAAGCTAATTTTCTCAATATAATATTTCATTAGTAATTCTTTCATTACTCATTATTACCACGTCACTGTCCATAGTGGGCCTACCAATCTCACCATGGACAGACAGTACTTGGGTCATTACATTGGGCCTATGCTTAGACTTCAGTCTAAGATACCTATTTAAAAAAAAAAAAAAAAGGAGAGGTGTTTTGAAACACCTCATGATCTGTCATATACTCTTTCTTCTGTTTCATTCTCTGCCAATTCGAGCTTCCGACGTTTCAGTTGAATGCATAACACACCAACCAAATCGCCGTAAGTCGCATTGGCGTCTCAATGTTGCATCCCTATATAATTGATTAAAAGTATGTTCCATTTACTTTTAATATAGTTGAGCATTTCTATCATCGCAAGATTGCGTTCATTGTAGTTTAAATTTTAATTTTAAGGGATATTAAATTTTTATTTTTTAAAAAAATTTATTTTAGTTATCAATTTAATTTCTTAAATTTGACTCAATTATGGATTTGTATATTTGTTTCTTATCATTTAAAATTGAGTTAACATTATTAAAATCTACTGACAAAAAAATATTGATGGCAACTAAGGTTGTTAAACCACAAATTTAAATAAGCTCGTGATGGGAGGTAAATTCGAATTGTAAATTCATAAAAATTTATCTTTATTAATAAATAGTCATTAAAAATTTGTTATTGAATAATTAACATATAAAATATGACCATAATTTAATTTAAATACATTTAAAATATAAATCATTGAAATTAAACATATTTACATTGATAAATTATGATAAAAAATATAGAAATTTTAAAAAAGAGAAACTTATTTTTTGTTTTTTTGTTTTTCATTAATATTAATTTTTTGCTAAGTTTTTTTCTTTGAAGCAAGTTCTATAATTTTTATGAATTAAATTTTTTATAATATATACTCAATTCACTCAACTCAAAAAAAAAAATCAATGAATTTAACAAGTTTAACAAATTTACATCTAATTTGAGTTTATAAATTAATTGACACAATTTTGTTAGTTGAAAATAAAAAAATAATAAACTTGAAGGTAAACTTATGAGTTTAATTGGGTTTGTATCTAATTTGAGTTTACATATAAGTTGACATGATTTTGTAACCTAAAAATGTAAAAATATTAAACTCAAATAATCAACTCGAGAGTTTGACAACTATGAATTGGTAACTATATAAATTAATAAAAACTATATAATTATTTATGTAAGAAAAAAGAGTAAAATTTTTTTTAAAAAATAAAATGCAGTGTAAAATATTATATTAATAAGATTAAATTAAATTGATTTGAGAGCTCGCACTCATGAGTATTTGTTTTTATATCTAATTGTCCTCTCGTCAAGATGTCAATTGACAATTATTTAAAAATATTGACCATTTGATCTTATATTTTTGACTCAATTATATTCTTAAATTTTCACTCTCAATACAATTCAATCTGACAATCTCTATAATTTAATTTAATTATAATTCAATTATTAAATTTTAACTTAGTGCAATTAGGACTTATAGATTTAGTCATTTAAAATATTAATTATTAAATTTAAATAATAACTTTATTCCTTGTAATTTTATTTTTTAAAATATAAAGACCAGAATTTTAAATAAATAAAATTATAGGGATCAAATTGTAAAAGATAGTGTTTTAACTAAATCAAAAACTATACAAACTAAATGATTAATTTTATGCTAAGTTTTGTCCTTTAAAAAAATTAAGATTAAGAAGAATGACTTGCCTGATTAATCTAAATACGTATAATTTTTTCTTTCCTTTTTTTTAGTAAAATATTGTGTCCTCCTTTCTATTTTACTAAAATTACAGGGAGCTCCTTCCTGTAAACATATATTTTAGTCTAATTTTTAACGCAGTTAAAAATATTTCAGTAAATATTTTAAAATATTTAATTTTTTCTTGTAATTATGTTGAAAAAATTACAATTACTAATTTGCACTTCTAATTGATTTGTTCTCTCTCCAAATTTAATGGAATTTAATAATTAATTATGAAAATATTTAAATAAATAATCTAAAATATTGTTTACAATTTATGAAATTTACAGAAAATAAACATAAATTATATTAACTAATTTCTCTCTTATTATATTAAAAACCTAATTAATTAATTTTTTTGTACATGTGTGTTTGAAATATTATTGTAGCCAACTTATTTATTTATTTTTTAAAAAATAAATAAGTAATTTTACATAACTAAAAGTAAAATATGAATAAAGAAGTAAAAAAAATATGCATTTATTTTTTTCGGTATTTTAAATTATTTTTAGGTTATATTTATGTTTAAAGAAGGGTATTTTGGTTTAAAAAGTCAATTAACAGTTAGGATGGAGGGAAATAAAATCTTTAAAGTAGAATGGAGGTTTGTTTTTTTGCTCAAAAAAAAAAAAAGAATGGAGGTTTGTGTTTTGTGATTATTGATTTGATGGGAGGTTTGTATAGGTTTTAAAATAAAAGAAAGGTATCTCTAAATTAAAATAAAATAAAATCTTTTTGGGAAAAGAAAAAGAGAGGTATTTTGAAACACCTCATTTTTGTTAGATCGACGAAAGAGAATTTGGATTGGAAATTGATGCGTGTGAGTGCTGAATCGAACTCATAAATTAACCGATGAGAGTTTAATAATCCCACCAGCAAGACATGAGGCCAATTGGGAAGTTTAGAATTTTATTACGTTGTGGCATGAATTTATTATTGCGCATTTACTTCTTTTCTTTATATTTTAATTTAATCTCCTTAGAAAATATGCACATTAATTAATTTCAATTCTTCTTTTATAAATTATTAACTGAAAATGTCATGAGTAATAATTTTTTTTTTGTCGGCAAAAAGAGTAATGATTTTTTCATAAAAAAAAAATCTGTATAAAAGTTATGTCCATGCGTGCTATATCCTATATGAACAACTGAAATGATCATTGGCTACGTGGCTAAAGAATGGTAGTTTGGGTAAGGGTGAGAATAAGTCAAGCCCCTAATAAAAACCTATAACTTGACCTACTTCAAGTTTCAATATAATCTATTTATTAAATGAGATTAAGTTAGATTCAAGCTTTTAATTAGGCCTATTTAGTTGAACAGGTTAGATCTACTTTTTCAAAGGCTAACTTACAAACCTAACAAGCCGGCATATTTACACACACATAATGTAATATATCACAAACACATAAGTTTCATCATATAATTTTTAATCAATTTATTCATTTTATTTTTTGTTATATTTTCAATCACATTGGACTTAGATATTACTTTTAATGTTGTTACTTTATTATTATATTGTAGTGTAGTTGATAAATCTTTTCAATTATTATATATTGTAATTGATACATCAGATTATATATTATATACTATAATGTCCTAAAGTACATTTTGAGACGTTTAAAATTAAAATGTAAGCCTATTTAAAATGCTTACTTTTAAATAGGCCTTTAAATAAGTTTTCAGGTCAGGCCAAGCTTTAAACAAGCTCAAGCCTGAAATATAAAAAAAGCTTTATATAGGTTTCAAGTCAGGTTCAGGCTTTTGGTTTATGATACAGGCATGGAATGAAAAACCGGATCAAACCGACCGATTCAACC